TGATGCTCTCTGGATGAAGAGCACAGGCCCATTCGAAATACAGCCACTGCTCAGGTTGCTCTCTCTAACTCCACGGATTCGCTGCCACTAGAATACCCCATGCTTCAGTCCTTCGAACACTCACCCAGCCTCATCGGCCATTTCGTTCAGCAGCATATCCACTTGATTCTTTAAAGAGAAGAAAGCCAAACTAATTTAACACAGAGAAATCACAGTAACAAGGCATAACACAAAAATCACAGTGAAATAATAAAGCAGTTTTTGAACTTTGAGTTCTTTACCACAAGAGGGAGCTGCAAGCATTCACACAGCAAAATGATCTGTTGAGACACTGTTTAGAAATACTTTAAAACTTATTCTCTGTAAGTGTATGTACAGTAGCATGGGAGCAAACCCAACTGAATTCAGCAGGAATTATGTATGAACAGACATGCTAAGGACTACACTCAAATATTTCAAAATAAATCATAGTCCCAGCAGCTTTTCTTAGAAATTTTGTTTCACGGGGCCAAGGAAAGATGACACTGGGCACAACTAATCTGTCTTAATGGGGGCTTACTTGTGGTGTTGTTAGCGTAGTGGTATTACTCATCGTGTCTTCCATCTGTGCTGTCTGAACATCTAAGGTTTCAAACTGCTGTTCAAATTTGTCCATCAAGGCAGAGATCTGAGGTAAGCAATGGGAACAAGCCAGTAATGAAAAATGTGAAATGTGCCGAGTTAGTAACAGAGGATAAAATGTTAGCATCTGAAATCATGAGCTTACCTTTTCTAAGTTCATACTCTTCAATGTAGCATCCATAGATTTAACTACTCCAGCCATTGACTTTGTCACCTAGAAGAGAATATATATACACTTATCTAAAAACCACATGTTGATTATGTATTATATATGTACTTAGAGCAGAGTAGAAGTTTATGGCAGGAAAGTAGCATTAAAATAACATAACCTTGAACTTCACAGTACTGATTAGTATTACAGCCTCTTAAGCAAACATGAAGAATATATTCTTAAGAAAGAAATATGACATTCTTCAGAATTTTTTCTCATTACAAAGAAGCATATGGCAAATATCCGTGGATCTGCCTTGCCCAGGCCATCCAATGGAAAGAAGGAACACACAGAAGATGAGTTACACTAAGCCAGGCAATTAGTCCCTCAAGCTCAGAACTGTTCACAATAATCAAGAGCAGCTCATGGTTCGGGGCCGGCTATCTCAGCCCTCCAGGGACTCATGCCAGGGACTGAACCTGAGGACTTCTGCATGCAAAAAAGCACACAGCTCCCCCAGAGTTATGGCCCTTCCCCCTAGTGTTATGAGCAACATAAAAAGGATTTTGGGGGTACACTGTGTTGCCAGCCAGACCCCAAGGACACTGCTTACCTTGCCCATAGTCACTGCTGTCTGGACCCTCGCTGCAACAGCATCCACCCGGGCACTCATGCGCAAGAAGTTGATTGCTTGATTCTTTTGCCGGATTGCATTTTCTGCATGTATTCTTGCAACTTCGGTATTACCCTTCTGAATTGCCTTTTATTTTACAAACACGGGAAAAAAAGCAGAACCTCAGCTTTAAAGGGGCATTAGCTAATCTTACCGTTCAACAAGCATACACTTTCAAATCCTGGTAGACATGCAGGGCAGTAAGCGGGACAATGGCAAACTGTGACCATGTGTTGCTTCATTCCACCACCACCCCCAATTTTAAAAAAATGGAAAATAGCTGCTTTGCAACCCAAATGAGAATTAATGCTCACCTACTATCCACAGATAGTACAGAGTGGTGATGCTGAGATGCTGTAAGCTAACCTGAAAAACTAAATTATTTTTGCATTGATTTTAACGTGAGTATATCATATGCAGAAACAGTATTATCACCAGTATTGCATATTAACTTTCTAATGTTACAGCAAATCATCTGGTTACATGATACCAAACCGAGTGCAAGAAAAATGGCCAACTTCTTATTCTCTCACCTTCTTAATTTTAGCTTTTTCAATCTTTTCTTCTTTATCACATTTTTTGGCATTTCTGCTCAGCTCTTTGGCAGCAAATTTCAAGTTAAACAGGTGTTCTATCATTCTAGTTAAGGATTATGTTCAACAAGTGATGCTTGCACTGCTGACAGCATTAAGTCTAAAGACAGGGTCAAAAATGTTTATCCATCAATACTGAGTAGTAATACTGAGTAGTAAACACTCCAGTAAGTGTTTTGACTACTCGAAGCAAGTGCTGTACACTGGAGTACCTCCTGGCCCCAAAGCTTGGGGGAGACAGGAGGAGGTAAAAAGTAAAAGTACATTAAATAAAGTACATTTAATCTACATTAACATATACTTCCTCAATATAAAACAGCCTCTGACACTCCACATACTTATTTTTATATTCTTCAGGCAGAAAGCATAGTCGTCAATGCCTTGCTCTCTCTCCCTTCCTGCCCTAAAAAGGGCTGATTAATTTACTTCTATTGAAAATATTTTTTTATTTGTATGCTACCCAATCAGCCATAAGGTTCTCTAAGCAGCTAACAATATAATCTATACAACAATACAAAACAATTTGCTATTGCGATGAAGCCAATAATAACAGCAGAGTCAATAATAAACAAAAGTAAAGAAACAATTACTAAAGCTAAAACAGAATGAAGCAAGAGGGGGATACAACACATTGAACTGATTAAAACAACCAATCGTCATCATCATCTTCATCATCATCCTGCTCTCATGGAGTACAGTCCACTTTGTCAGGTGCATCAAATGTATCTGCAGTCTACCAAACACATCACAATGCATACACAGGTACATAGAAAAGCTAGGAAGACTGCATTGTTTCCAGTTGCTCTTATGTACATGCAATGCACTTGCTGTGACTGCCACTGTTTATCATTCCTTTCTCGGTACTCACACACACCCCTAGATATACTAGGTAACTGTCATTGGACTGTAATGCTTCACTAAGTTCACAAAAGCAAATGAGACAATAAACTTGCAAGCTATTAAAGGTGCCACCATAAAGGCTTTTCTTTATCAAGTAACACCAGGGAGCCTTGATTGAGGGCTGGGGAACCCCAGGTTCAAAGCACCATTCAGTAGCAAAGATCACTGGGTGACCTCTGGCCATCCGAAACTATCTCACAGGGTTGTTGCCAGAACAAGGAGCCTGACTGACACAACCTCCAACTGCTGAAAGGCAGGAAATAAATACACAAATAATAAATCTGGCAGGAATGCCCCACGGCCCTCTAAACTTCAGCCTGCAGCTCTCATCAGTCATAGCTGGCATAGCCAATGGCGAGGAATGCCAGGAGCTGAAGCCAAAACTTCTGGAGGACCGTAAGTTGTGAGACCCTGAAATAAATCACAAACTTTGAAAGGCAATTCACCATAACCCATTGGCAGTTGATCCCAATAAGCCTCCCCATCACTCACTCCAAGGCAGATTTCTGCAACTAGAAGGCCCCCAGGTGTTTTGGACAACTCCCTGAATCCCGTGCTTGCTGGGGCTGACGGGAGTGGTCATCCAAGGGGCGCCAGGCTGGGGAAAGCAGCACTAAGGCAGGTGCTGCAAGGGCAAGGAGACCCCCCACCGACTCCTGTCCCCCCAGGAGAGGCACAGCGGATCGCAAGGCTGCTCTTACGCCCTGCCCGCTGGCGGCGCCCCAGCAGCTCCCCGCGGGGGGGGGGGAGCGCCCCGAGCTGGCCACGCCCACCCACGGCAAACCAGGGGGCGGGGCTTCGTTGTCCCCCTTAACCGCCTCGGCGCCCCGCCCCTCCCCTCCGCTCTCCCTCAGCAGGCACCGTCGTTAAGGATACTCTCCATATTGGACATGGCGGCGCTCGAGGCCGGGCCCCGTCGAGCGAGAGTGGGATGCGGCGCTGGCGTCGCTCCGGCTCCGCGGCGGGTTGTTTTTCCTCGGAGAGACGCGCTTCCTGCTTCCTCCTCCGCCCAGCGAGCCCGAGTTCCCGCCCCGGCATCCTGTCACGCGGTCAGGGGCGGGGCGCACTGACCAGGAAGGAGGGGAGCAGCAACCCAGGCCCGAAGGAGGCAAGCTGCGCATGCGTGCACGGCCCTGGCCAATGAAAGCGCGGCCTCCGGAAGACGCTCCCTGGTCAGCGGCGAATCCCATTCGCAAGCGGACATCTTTTTTTTTCGTCTCCCAGCCAATGGGGTTTTTCTTCCGGCTGGTGGCGTCTCCTCGCTGGGAGGGGCCCTGTTTGTTTTGATTGCACCGTTCCGTCACTGCCCTCTACAGGCAAGTATGGGCAACTACAGCCTCAAAGACTTGTTCTCACGGGTGTGGGGGGGTTAAATTACAGTTCCCATCATTCCTTATACTTGGCCTTACTAGCTGGGTCTCCCGGGAGCGCTAATCCAGCAATTTGGAGTGAGAGTCTCTCTCTCTCTCTCTTTTTTTTTTTTTTTTTTGTAATGTAGGCACGAAACTGTCCGAGGGGTATCGTATCGAGAAAGCTCCCGCATATAATGAAATGCAATTTGATTCATTTTCATTTGGTTTATTGCATTTTATACCATCCCGATAGCCGAAGCTCTGTGGGCACTTTACAAAGATCCAGATCTTAAGTACATTATGAAAAGTTGCCCCTCTTTCCTCCATCCTCTCATTGCTCAAGATGTTAACACGCCAGGACCATTTCCCTGGGCAGGGAACCTCGCAGAATTGCAGCACAATCCTATACATGTTTACTGGGGAATACATCCCACTGTGTTCGACGGGGCATACTTTCTCATGAATGTGTAGGATTTCCACCTGACCTATCATTTTAATTTGTTTAAAATAAGACGGGTTGGACTGCAATGTCCATCATTCCCAGACGGCTTGGCCATGGGTCATACTAGTTGGGAACGGTAGGATAGCAGGACTTTTTCCAGTCTAGCCGTGCGTAGGATTGAGTCTTGAGTAGCCTTTTCAGACAGTAGCCCCGGGGACGGGCAGGAAATAGGAAGTTAGCAGATGGATTTGGAACCTTGGCTGGCTTTCAGAGATGAATCAGATCGTTTTACTGAGCATCACACGTCACGGAGCGTTCCCGACAGCTGCTTTGCTGCAGAAGAAATGCGCCAATCTCATTCATTCCGGGACGAAAGCAACGCGGAGGGCTCGCCCCACACCGTCTATGGCTTGCTGCGGCACAAGCCAAAGTCACAAGCACGACCGATATCACGGAGGCTATCATACGCACGACGCGGAGCCCATCTCATTGGGCAATCTGCAACCTTGAATTGACGATGAGGTTAGGAGGTGTAAATCCCCCGGTGGTTTTACTCACCGTTCCCTGGCACTCGCTAAAGGTGCAAGGGATAGCTTCCCTAGGAGACAAGCCTTTCCCTATTTGTCTGTAAATAAGCATTTAGAACAATGGGACTTAGCTCTGTGGAGCCATGTATAGAATTAAAATGCGTAGGATTTGCCCTACGAGGGGCACACGGCTGCTTAATCAAATTACCCTGAAAGTTCAGTTTTGCTCATGAGTGGTAGGACGGGTGGGGGGGAAGCCAAAGGAATGCGGAATGTTGTCGTTCAACACCGAATGTCACCTCTTCATTTTTATCTCTGTAGGGAGGTCGTGGATTTTGAATGAACGAATGGGCAGCTCTCCTCCTTCCCGGATGGCTGCGTCGCCCCCCGTCGCCCGCGATGGCGTTCGCAGCGAGCTGAGTGGCTAGCGACCGGGGACTGTTTTGCATGGCGCTCGGTGATAGGCTGGGAGGACGGAGCCGCGGGGGGAGCGCGCGCTTTCGAATACAATCCGAGCAGTTTGGTGCGTCTCTTTGGCGAGCGCATCATGGCCGAGCCGCTGGATCCCGCGCAGGCGGAGCAGTACCGGAGGTAAAGCAGCAGGGGCGGGTGGATTTGCTTCCAAGGTTGCGAAGGAGTCGAAGTTTTTATTTATATATATTTTCTTTGTTAGGGTATTTCTATCCCGTCCATTACGGTTCCACTCTGGACGGCTTGCAGTGTAAACCTTCTTGCAATAGAAACCTATATAAATAAGCTGCAACTTCTTATAATATAGAAGTTGTAGGTTATTCTCCCGTTGGTTCTCTATGCTGTTTCCGTGGGAAAATTCTAACTTTCCCTCTGGCCTGGATCCGGAATTGCATGGAGCAAAATCAAGGGGGCAGGCTGCTAAGGCTGCATTGATTTAAGTGGGTCTACTCTAAGCAGGATGAGAAGTTTAGATCCAGGCTGGAAGAGTTTGCCAAAGGCCGTAGCTTGACTGGTTTGGGACTCAGGGTGTTCTTGGTCAAGGCCAGAAGTGAAAAAGGGGTCCAAGGGTGCCATCCCATATACACTGAATAAGGAATAGAATAATTGTCTTGAGAGACATCTGTTAGAGCAGGGGTCTCAAACCCGCGACCCACGGGCCAATTGCCGGGATGGACGGGGCACAGGGGAGGGGTCCTGCGGCCTTCAAAGCGCCGGCGGCGCCCGGGCCGGCCGTGGGATGAGCGGCCCACCACCACCACCGCGGTGGTGGAATACTTGCTGCGGCCCAGCCTCACCCAGACTATCCTTCCAGCGGCCCCCAGGTAAGTTGAGTTTGAGACCCCTATGTTAGAGACGGCTCTCCCCTGTGAACCTGCAGTGTATACAGATGTTGATCTATTAGCATAAAAATCAATTATACTTCTATTTAGAACAACCAAAATATCATAAATTGTGTTCTTGTTTTTTTAACTGATTTATACCCTGCCTTTCTACCAAAAAATTGGCACTCGTGGCAGCTTCTTCAGGCTTGTAGTAGAGTAGAAGTGTGGGAAGGAGAAAGAATGCTGAGCACAGGGGTAGATACTCCAACATCTGCACTTTGTAACATTCCTACAGTGGAGGAGTGAGCAGACTTGCAGCACAATTCTGTGCATTTCTATTCTGAAACAAATCCCATTGCAGTCCGGTAAGCAGAACTGCAGCCCTAATCCATCTTCTTCAACCCCGGTGCTCTCTGTCTGTGTCAGACTACAATTCTCATCATCTCTAGTCAGTGGTCATGAGATGAGTGGTTCTTGCTCCTCCTCCGCTCTTCTCCATTTTATTCTCTGAGACTGTCCATGCCAATTTCATTGTACAAGCAGAACTGACTGCTTGCATAAGGCAGATGACCAGTTCTGGAGCAACATCAAGCAAGTGAAATGCTCTGCCTGCCTCCTAGAAAACAGCATTTCCATGCACTTCAGAGTTCCCCCTAGCAAGAGTTCATTCTCCCTGGGATAAGTTGTAGTAGACCTTCTTCGTGCTTCGCAAAGAGAACCAGCAGAAAGGATTCTGCGGGGTGTAAGCTCCCCAGTGGATTCTGCCTCGAAACTGTAAAACCCCATACTCACTGTTGACCTTTGCTTAGCAGTGGCTTTGTAGGATGATAAAATGTCATCTTGGGAAACATACTTTTTGTGACTCAGCTGCTGTAGAAGGATTTGCTGTTTGTTTTGTTAAATAATGACTCCTAGCTTCCGAGGGGCCTCCTTCATTCATGGAAGCCTGCCTGAGATGATAATCTGTGTTCCCTCTCTGATTTGACATTAACACAAAGACAGTACTGATAACACAGTAGGAGTTACATCGAGTTTTAGCCTAACTTATGTCCCATTCATTTCAGTGGGTTGACTTAAGTGAGGAAGGGACACTTGTTTATCCTGTTTTTTCTGATGACATTTTGTTTTCTAATGTGAACCATTTTGGGGGTTTGGAATGTGAAGTGGTTTGTAAATTCTGAAATAAAAGCATACATAGGGCTAACGTTGGACTGGAGTCAAAGTGGTTTGGACAGCTCCTGGCACCGCCAATGGCAAATCGTTGTGCAAGTCTTCTGACTTCTTTCTTTCTGGATTTCTGCAGAAAGAGAAAAGGGGGAAGAAACAATGAGGGAAACATAAGAGAATAAAGGTAACAGCTGGACTGATAAGATGCCACAAATGCAATGAGCTAGTGTGGTGTAGTGGTTAAGAGTGTGGGCATGGGACTCGGGCAATCCAGGTTCGAGTCCCCGCTCAGCCATGGAGCCAACTGGGTGACTTTGGGACAGACACAGACTCTCAGCCCAACCTACCTCAAAGGGTTGTTTTGAAGATAAAATGGACAGGAGGAGGAGGAAGATTGTAAGCTGCTTTGAATTCCTGTCAAAAAAAAGAGTGGGAAAAGAGAGCCAGTGTGGTGTGGTGGTTCAGAGCATGGGCCTGGGACTCAGGCGATCCGGGTTTGAGTCCCCGTTCGGCCATGGAGCCCACTGGGTGACTTTGGGCCAGTCACAGACTCTCAGCCCAACCTACCTCACAGGGCTGTTGTTGTGGGGATAAGATGGAGGAGGAGAATGATGTAAGCTGCTTTGAGCCCTTTGCAGGAAAAAAGGCAGGATATAAATCGCAAAATAAATAAATGACAGCATTCAGCTTTTGCCTGGAAGCACCCACCCGTCATGGTGGAACCATACTAGCAGAATCCTCCCTTGGGGGGCTCCTATAGATCTCCTTGAATGTAGTCAGGTGTTTAAAGTCTTTTTAATTCTGTAGGGCTTTTCATAATTAACATGGCCTGTTTTTATGCTTGCTTCTTTGAATTTTAATACAGCTGGCTTTTTTAAAAAATCTGTCTTTGCTATTTGGGTTTTTGCAAGCTGCTGCGACTTTTCCTTTGCTTTTGTTTGCTCTAGCCTTGGATTGGTTTTGCTGGCAATTTCTGACTTGGTGAACTACATTATATGTTACAGCTACGTGTGCCAAGCAAAGCAGGAAGCCAGAAATGGGAAACTGGAAGAATCTATCAGACTGTTCCGGCAGGCCTTTGAAATCCATCCCAGTGAAAAGCTGAAGTCGAATATAAGAAAACTAGAGGAGGCATTGGCTTCGCTAGCACTGGATCAGGAAGAGGATGGCTTTGTGGACGTGTGTCAGAGTGGACTCCTGTTGTATGGCGAAATGCATGATAAACTGTTTGGATATCAGAGAGAAGGGGTTGCCTTTCTATATAGTTTATACCGGGATGGAAGGAGAGGCGGCATCCTGGCAGATGACATGGGCCTGGGCAAAACAGTTCAGATCATTGCTTTCCTCTCGGGTATGTTTGATGCAGAACGCATCCAGTCTGTGCTGCTAATCATGCCAACCACCCTTGTTAACAACTGGATGAAGGAGTTTGCCAAGTGGACCCCGGGACTCCGGATAAAACCCTTTTATGGGGCCTGCAAGACTGAACGCACCAGGAATCTAGAAAGGATCCAGAGGAAGAATGGAGTCTTGCTTACAACGTACCAGATGCTGCTGAACAATTGGCAGCAGCTCTCCAGTTATGCTGGAAAGGAGTTTGTCTGGGACTATGTCATTCTCGATGAAGCGCATAAAATTAAAACCCCATCGGCCAAAACCACAAAGGCTGTGCATGCCATCCCTTCCAAAAACCGCATCCTTCTCACAGGGACACCAATCCAAAACAACCTAAAAGAACTGTGGTCTCTTTTTGACTTCGCTTGTCAAGGGATGCTTCTAGGCACCATGAAAACCTTCAAGATGGAATATGAAAATCCTATCACAAGAGCTAGAGCAAAGGATGCAACCCCAGGGGAGAAGGCACTGGGGCTTAAGATCTCAGAAAGCCTGATGTCCATCATCAAGCCATATTTCCTAAGACGGAGTAAAGATGAACTACAGAAGAAAGTTAAGCATGAACTCAAAAGCAATCTCCTTGAAGAGCCAAGTAACGATACTCCTCCTGCAATGCCCTCTCTTCCCAGAAAGAATGACTTTATTGTGTGGCTGTATTTAACACCCATTCAAGAAGAAATATATAGGAATTTTCTGTCACTGGATCATATAAAGGAGTTGTTGATGACTACAAGGTCCCCGTTGGCTGAGCTGAATGTTCTGAAGAAGGTCTGCGACCACCCCAGGCTGTTGTCAGCGCGGGCATGTCAGCAGCTTGGTCTGGAAACATCCGATCCTGACAGGGCAGGTGATGGTGAAAATGCAGCTGGTGAGCTCTGGAGCACAAAAAGAAGTATTGAACATATTTCTGATGAGGTTCTGATAGAGGAGTCTGGAAAGCTACAGTTCCTTATGGCCCTGCTGGAGAGACTGCGGGAAGAGGGGCACAGAACCCTGGTGTTTTCCCAGTCAAGAAAAATGCTGGATATTATAGAGCACCTCTTAACTCTCAAGCGCTTCAGACTCATGCGCATTGATGGAACAGTGACTCATTTGGAGGAACGGGAAAAGCGGATTGGTGTGTTCCAGAAGAATAGAGACTATTCCATCTTTTTGCTTACTACTCAAGTTGGAGGGGTTGGTTTAACATTAACAGCTGCCACTAGGGTGGTGATCTTTGATCCCAGCTGGAATCCAGCTACGGATGCTCAAGCTGTCGATAGAGCTTACAGAATTGGGCAAAAGAACAATGTTGTGATTTACCGGCTAATCACCTGTGGTACAGTGGAAGAAAAAATCTATAGAAGGCAAGTCTTTAAAGACTCACTAATACGGCAAAGCACGGGGGACAATAGGAACCCATACAGATATTTCACTCAGCAAGAACTACGAGAGCTCTTTACACTGGGAGATACTCAAAGCTCAGCAACCCAACTCCAGTTGCAATCCTTGCATGCCAACCAAAGAAAGACAGACTCTCAGCTGGATGAACACATTGCGTACCTCTATTCGCTTAACATATTTGGCATTTCAGACCATGACTTGATATACACACAAGAAAAAATTCATGAAGATGAAGCAGAAGATGAAGAAGCCCGCCAGTACATTAAAGGTAGGGTACAGAAGGCCCAAGAACTGGTACAGCTAGAATCCCAAGTGAAAGACCAAGGGATGGGATACATCAAAAACATGACTGAAGGAGCCTGGCTGAGAGAAATGCAATCTTCTACCCAGCCAAAGAAAAAGCCACCAAAGCCTTCTCCAAAGAGTAATCTTATCTCACCTGTATCTGTTGAACCCACTAAGAATGATGAGTTTGTCAACCTTGTATCTGATGATGATAACACACAAGATATTGTCAATGTGAGCTCTAGAATGACAAGTCTAGTCATTGAGGATGTGGAAGATGTGCAAATGCTTCAAAATATATCTAATATAGATCCATCACTGTCCAAGAATGAATGTGATCCAGAGAGGATGCAAGAATACAAGCAGAAACATGATCTAAGCAAAAGATCTCCTTTTCCTCACGCTCACGCATTGTCCAACAAGGAGAACTATAGTCCTGAATCTGAAGTGATGTCCTGTGATCTACCTGGTGAGGATGGGGATGATGAACAAGTGAACTGGAGCATCTCCCATACGGATGCATCACTTTCCAAGAGCAAAGAGCATAATAAACTAGCACAGCTACTAGAATATGAGCAGAAACACATTCCAAGCACTAGATCTTCTTTTCTGCAAGCTTCTCCTTTATGTAAAATGGAGAATCACAGTCCTGAATCCAAAATAGCCTCTTATCATTCAACCGGCAAGGCAAATAGCGTGTTTGACGATGTCCAAATGGAACTGCTGCAGCAGTCATTTGAACATGTTTCTGATGATGGTAAGCAACAAATCAAGAGTGAAACGTGCCTTGATGTTGCCACAAGCACACACACAGAGACGTGTGAAAGTAATGAACTAAAAGCCAAATCACCTTTTCCACTGCAGGCCAATAAAATGTCCTGGTTCAGTACAGACCAGAAATCTAGGATGAGTGGAATTATGCTAGAGGACGAGTCCTTCTCTGGTTCTTCCCCATACCAGGCTAATTTCAATCTTGCATTGGAAGAGTCTATGGAAGAACGTCAAGACATCTCAAAAACAGATGTGTCAGTGGAGTATATCGAAAATGAAGGATTTCAGTTAAAAGTGGACAGTAGTGGTAGCTCTTTGGCTCACTCTGGGGTAGGAGAAAACAGAGGCAGTGGAAGAATTGGGCCTAGCAAGAATATAATAGGATCTGCTATTTTGGATTCTTCTAACAACACACATGAGTCTTTGATGGACGATAGTGAGGTTTCTTTTCATTGTAAAAAGAAAACAGTGAGAAGAATAGTTTCAGATGAGGAAGAAGAAAATGTGGGTCTTGAAAATCTGGATGACATGCGTATAAAATCATATGATTTAAATAATTTGGATGAAATATGTATGTCAACACCAAAGTCTAACAGGCTTATAGCCAGTTTTTCTTTCTCTCCAAGGATAAAAGTTAGTGGAAGAAGATCAACTGCTTCTCGAAGATCCATTGTTAACATGGTACAAGATCAGTTGGAAGACATGAAAGAAACAGTGGAATCTGTCAATGACAACTCTCAAGAAATTTCTTTTCAAAAGGATTTTGATTCCAGGTCTACTTCTCTTTCAATGGAGCTGGAGGAGGAAACAGCAAGTGAAACTGCAGATTCTGGAAAGATGGCTTTCCTCCTTTCTGAATAAGCAGAGTCATGGAAAGGGCAAATCATTCTCTCAGAGGAGTCGGCTGTTCCTCCGGAGAAGATTTAACAGCAGCGTTCCTTGGTCTGGGCCAGGGACAGGCTGCCCTGCTTTGGCCTGCAGCTCCTACAGCTGCCATCAGCCCTAGTTAACATTGCCAATAGTGAGAGATGATGAGACTTGTGGGCCAAAATATGTGGAGGAACATATGTTACCTTTGGTGAAGAACTTTTCTACTGTTTGCACTTCCTTGGGTGGAAGACTGGGAGCAGAATCCAGAAGGAAAAACATGATTGCATTATTCAGATGTTAAAGGAATCCCTGTTTTTTGTACATGTTCAATGTTAATTACTTTAAAGTGTTATGTAACAGTTTTACAACCAATTGTTAGTATTGACAGACAATTGGAAGGTAAATATGTGCATTGTGAGAAATTTTATGTGTGTCTATATATCACCCCCTTCTCATACGCTTTTGGCAGTTTACAAGAAATTAAAATCAGTGATTAACACTAGTTAAAATAAAACCAATATGAAAACTAATCTGGGAAGGTCTGTTGAAAGAGATGCATCTCTAACTCCCTCTTAAAGGTGCTAATCTGGGATATCAGATGCAATTCTCCTGGCAGATCATTCCACTGCATAGGGGCAACCTCCGAGAAGGTCCTCTGGGACTTTAAGCTTACAGGAACAGACTTCAGGAGATTATCCTCAAAAGAACTTAGCTGGCAATGGTCCTCCAGAAGGTATATTGGACACATGAATCCATGGGTCCAAACCATGACGGGCTTTTACTCTGTCCAGCGATGTATTGGCAGCCAGTGCCACGACTTCAAGATAGGTGACAGTCTCTCCATGATGTCCCAGAGACCAGGCGGGCTGCCATACCCGCGTGGCAGGGGGCAGGGGGCAGTGCAGGCTGGATGAATAGGCATGGTGGGCCAGATCTGTCCCGCGGGCTGTCGTTTGAGGACCCATGCGCTAGAGTGACCAGAGCAGGCTCAACTCCATGAACTACTCTGAAACCAGTTTAAAATGGGTCCAGAAAATCGGTGTCACTCAGGACTGCCTGGAGCCAGAGAGATTGCTCTCTGTCACCTTGCAAATAGATGGCATGGTTGAGACTACCCTCAGGAGCTTGGCACTGCTGTTGAATGCCCAGTTGGCCAAAAAAACCATCGGGGGAATATTGGAGGTGGGGGGAGTGTGCAAAGGTGCTGCACCCCTGCCTTAAATATGTCCTTGCTTTGGTAGCAAAGAAGGGGATGTGCAAATGTTTCAAATAGAAACTCTCCAATAATAATAACACTTAAATCTGATATACTTTTCAGTGCCCATGCAAAATCTTTTTCTCCATATACAGTCTCATTCCTTCTTTTATTCTTCATTTAACAAGAAAACTTTCATGACTTTGGATATGCCTTGAAATGCTGGAAAGGGGGGTGCTTTAAGACATAGCAGCTTATCCTCCAGAAGTGGATACTGGGGATGCTGGGAGTTGTAGTACAACACATCTGGTGGGAGGGAGGCTGTTCTATAGGGAATACTTTGCACTGCCCCTTCGTTAGAAAATGGCTTGCTCTGGAAAATCCATGTGCTTGTCCAAAATGCACCAGAGTTTATTTTCATGCATTTCAAGGGTTGTGAGATGCCACACACAGTCCTGTAAGCAGAGATTCCTTAGCACTAATCCACCATCCTAGCTATGATCCCATTTTCCCCAAATGAAAGACCCTTGCAAGTCAAGAGCTAAAGTCACAACAACATGCAATACAGCTTACTAATAAAACAACCCCCCGCACACCTGATCCTGCCCAGAGAGCATTTCCTTTGCTTTGAAATTATAAATATAGAACCGATTAAAGTGGCTGCTTTCTCTCTTTGGACTGACTCATGTCTTGCTGACGTCATGCCTTGAAAGAGGCAGATATGCCTTGACGTCTCGGAAAGCTGCACAACTGCATCCCAGTCAGAAGTGATCCATCTTCCTGTTGTCACAAGCGGAGCCGATCAAGGCTGCACTCTCTGGCTTCAGCATCAGCACATCTTCATTGATTGCACAACGTTTATTTTTATATAGGGAAAGGCACTTGTTTGCCACAGTTTTCAGGGTCCACCAGCCCCCCCAGCCTGCAACACAGGGCCCATTGAAAGCAAACCTTTCCGCACATCCGTGAGGGTCATCTCAGGACTCCACTGAGAACCTTTCCTGAGCTGGGAGGAAATGTTGCTTCTGCAGCCACCAATGGTTGTAAATCACAGCACTTTGAAAGGCAAACATCTGTGTTGTAAGAAGTCTTCCTTGCTTGACCAGACATGGCTTTCTAGTAATGATCTGTTTTAATACAGGGCTCTGCTCTTTTTATGCCTTTATCTTTTATTGTTTAGATGTGGGTGGTATATAAATCCTATAATGAATGCATCTCTCATCTACAACCTGAAGTGGTACAGTCCAGGTCGAGCTTCACAGCATGCCATTTCCTCAGGAGTGTCCATTGGCACTGAATGAAAGAGGAAATGTTCTCTAAGAAGCCGTTTCCACTAGGGGAAACCTGACACGTCAAGGAAGTCCCTCATAAGGGCAAGTAAGGCACTAGCCCTGCTCGGCTCCCCCTTTCCCAGCAACTGGGAACTGGGGCTATTCCACCTCTCTAAAAGCAGAAGTTCCATCACATCGAAGCCGCCCTGAATTGCCATCGGCGGATCGAAGCTACTTTGAAAGCCGTGTATACGGGCACAGGGCAGCAAATTCCATCAATGAATTATGTCTTGTACAGAGACGTCTTTTCTTCGGTTTGTCCCGAATCTCTTGCCAACGGATCTTGTCCGAGCCCCACTTAAAAACAAAAAAGTCAAGCGAGACAGGCTGCTCAAACTAGGAGGCAACCAAGCCGAAGGGGCTCTTCCCCGCTCCCGCCCAAGCGAGATCGACCCGGCAGCGGCGAGGCGAGCGGAGCCGTGGGTTTCCCCTCGCCCGCTGCTTCGCCCGGGCTCCGTCCGCGCCCCCCGCGGACACAAAGCGCGGAGGAAGCCCCTCTCGCGGCCCCCCCCCCGTCAAAGTGTGTGACGCGGGGTTGCCATGGCCACTCTTTTACGCTACAAGCGCGGAGACGGGGGCGCGGGAGGCGGGCGGCGGGCGGGGAAGGACCGAGCGCATTTCAGCACCACCGCGGCGGCGGACAGCACCCGGCGCCGCGACTCCGCTCCGCGCTCCCCCTCCCCTCCCGCCCCGCTTTCGGGCGTCCCTCGCCCCGCGCCGCCCCCCGGGCCGCAGCGGGGACTGGCGGGTCCCGGGGCCCCTGTGCGCGTCGCTCTCGCCGCGCCCTCGCCGGCTCGGGCAGAGCCGCCCCGCGGGGAAGGCGCGCCAGGGCGCTGCGGGGCGCGCCTCCCCGCCCCCTCGCCGTCGGGCTTGCGGGAGTCCCGCCGACCGGGAGAGAGGAGACCCGAGCCGCCGATTCCGCGAGGCTGTCCCGGTGAGTGCGCGGCTCCGGACGGGCGGGGGGGAGCGGGTCGGGTCTTCCCTCCGTCGACGCGCTCGCTTCGGCCTTCGCGTGTTGCTGCTGCTGCTGCGCGTGGTGTTCAGGGCGCCGCTAGGAAGCTGGGGACACCGAGCTTTGGGAAGCAGCTCTCCACACTTTTGCAGCGAGCCTCTTGGACAACCTTCGCCCCACTTGGCGCCTTCCGGGATGCTTTTCTGGCGAGGGAGGGGAACTTTTTGGGGAGGGCTGGCAGCACCGAGTCGGAGCGACGCTGGTCTCGGAGAACAAGTTCTCCACTAGGTCGGCTGTGTTCGAGAGCTCCAGAGCCCTTCTGGAACCAGAGTTGCTGGTTCGGCTGCTTTCAAAATCCTCTGCTCCAGAACTTGCATCCCCCTGCATCCCAGCTCATTGGGTCATGCTCAGCTCCCACTTAAAATCAATGGGGTTGAAGTATACCTGGATTTCATAAGGGCACTATTGGGCGAAGGAGGTTACTAACCTCTTTTGCTTTTTCCCTGCCTTACATTGCAAGAAATTGAGTGTTAGAGGTATGGTACTGGTCTCATCTGTAGTTAATGGGCAGGGGAAAGATGGAGATGGAAAAGATGCTGTTGGGAACAAAGGTGATAAATAGGGCTTTCCCAAAGTGCCCCAAGATTGGTTTTTCCAAGGAGATGTGGGACTGATGACTCAGCGGGGTAAAAAAAATCCATGGCCACAGGAGGTCTTTTCATTCCGGGAGTTTCCCATTTTTATGTGCTGCATGAATGTTACATAGATCCTCAAACATTCTCTAAGCGGAATGCAGATTCTTGGGTACCCTTCCCCAACCTGGTATGCTCCAAATCTGCTGGACCATCAACTCCCAGCATTCCCTGGATCACTATGGTTGGTGAGAAATACTGGGCACTGTAGTTCAGCACATCTGGAAGAGACCATATGGGGGAGGTTGGATTATAAGTCCCACATCTGGTGTAAAGAATCTTTGTGTTGGCAGAACAAAGGGAATTCTGTCTGTGTGTGCTTTGAAAGGAAGAAGGGGGAGGATCAAGCATGTTCTGAATAAGGTCTCCCAGAAGGACTTTGGATGTACTTCAGGGACTACCTACCAAGTAGTCTTTCCCAGCTTGGTGCCCTTCAGATGACTTTAACTACACACTCTATCATCCCTGACCACTGCCCATGTTCGTTGGAGCTGTATTCCAAAGCACCTGGCATGCAATAAGTTGAGCAAGGATGCCTGGAGGGTCTGCCATGTCATGAATGATGTACAATTTTGGAACGGTTCCATATCATCTCCAGGAAGCTCTTCTGTGAGTATATTGATGCTTTCAGAGAGCTGTGTGAAATCTCTGCAAATTGACCGGGCTGTGTGTGTTGTGATCCTTGGGTTCTATACAGGAGTCCAAGCTATGGTGGCGGTGATGCTTTTGATATAAGAACAACCTTCTGTTTGTCTTGGAACTGCACATTCTTGTGCTTCTCATACAATTCCTTGATAAGATGGTAACCTTCCCCAACCAGGCACTCTCCAGATGTCTTGGACTCCCATCACTGCAGCCAGCAAAACCCGTGCTTAAGGATGACGGGAAATCTTGTCCAACATGTTTGGAGAGCAGCACAGTTAGGAAACGCTCTGTTAAGAGGGGGAGTGTGTGTGTGTGTGATAACCTCTAAAGTACTGTAAGTACTAATGCTCCATGGGTTGTTGTTACTTGAAAAGACATCTGGATAGTTATACATCTGTCTGCTCCAGAGTTCTGACTATGGGAACCTGTTGAATTTTGGATTGTGAGACTCTCTCATAAATGGACTGCAGAGTCCCTAAAGTGAATTAAACATTGCCAGGTCAGGCTATTGATGACATGCCATGCCTTCTCATGGACTGAAGTGCTTAAGCTTCTCTCACTGGCAGTAGGATTCCCAGGCTGTCCTGTCTAAGATCCCAAGGGTGCCATGGATCAAGAGATAGTCCATCATGCTCCTGGCCAAGAATGAATCCTAGCTGGGGTCCCAT